GGTTTCATCACATAACATGGAAACTAATCTCGAATATACTAAACAGCAAAGCCGAGATCTCCTAAGCCAACTAACAAAAAGGAACATAGATTAAAATGAGTAAAGAATTTCTAGAAAAAAAGCAATTCAAGCCAAATCACATTCACATACAAGCCAACTGCAGATCTAATCTCGAAAATAATTAACACGAAAACCACTTAATCAACTCAAAAAATACACATAGAAAACACAAAATAAGCAAAAGAACAAAACCAGATCTATACCCTCCTTTTCTTCCCCTTCACCTTGATCACTTTCCTCTCCCTCGCTTTCACCTACTTCTTCCTCTTCACTCTCTATTGTTGCTACAGCTGCAGCAAGGGTTGAATAATTCCTTCTAAAATACCCATCATCCATCGATGCTGAACCCAGGCGGCCCCAGGCGTCCCTAGGCACCGAATTCGGTATTGATGTTGCTGGCAATGTTACATGGAACCTAGTTGATCGAGAAGAACAACTCCAGATCAGGTGGTTGGAATTGTCTGTCCTTCGGTGGCTCCCTCTTTTTCTTGAACAAAAACGGCTTCTTCTTTGGAGGTGGAGGACATGCTAGTGCAGTCGGTACCTCGCTCGGTATCCCCCATCATCCGCAGCACCTCGTCGTACGCCGCCTCTTCCCTCATGTCTTGGTGATTTTTACGAATTCTGCTAGGTGATTGAGGGGGGCTAAAGGGTGGGCTTCAAACAAACCCAGATCTGGAGAAAGAAGACGAAAGGAGAAGAGAGAGATCTGGGTTTTCTCAAAATCCAACATTGGTGCACACTCAAATTCGCTTAATCTCTGTTAAAAAAAAAAAACCCAAAATGGTGAAATGGAAAAATGGAATGGGAATAGATGTTGGAGGAGATGGAGAAGGAATTGCCCAGGACGAGAGAGAGACAGGAGAAAGTCTGCTGTATCCCCGGGATACAGCAACGTGGTATCCCAACCCAATGGGAAAACACCACATCAACAATTTTTTTCAGACTTCATCAATCCCAAACCCAAAAACCAACTGATGTGGTGTTTTCCCATTGGGTTGGGATACCATGTCTGCTGTATCCCGGGGATACAGCAGACTTTCTCGAGAGACAGAGGGGAAGAGTGAAGAAAAAGGTTAATTTTGAAAATTTTGGAAATGATTTTAATTAATTAATAATAATCAATCTTTTATTTATTTGTTAAAATTAAAAATGCCATGTAAACAAAAAAAA